TTAATTTTTATCATGTCTAAGACATGATAAAAATTAACAAAAAGTTTTTTTTTTTTTTTTTTTTTTTTTTTTTGAGTTGTAGAATTTTTCTCAGCTCTGAAAATTTTTTTCCAGCCGACTCGAGACTTTACCATTTATATTTACGAATAGTCTTTGGATTATTTATTTATTTTCTTTTAAAAAGAAAAATTCTGAGCTAGACCTATCTATTGGCTTAACATTCTGGTCATAGAAACAGTCTAGAATCTCATTTTTTTTTCGAGGCTAATGCACGGGTTCTCCAATCAAAAGGGTTACTATAAAGGGATTGGTTTGAATGCATTTATCTGCAAATGTTGTAGGATTCTGTTGTTGAGAAGGGGGTATATTATTATTATTATTATTATTATTATGATGATGATTGTGGCAGATTCGTTTTCTACATGGAAGTCTAATCTCCTCCGAAGACCTTTTCTGGGGATCGTCGATAGATGGTTTTTCAATAGGAATCGTTTCCCTCGGATCCTCAAGAGATAGAGGGGGGTCCTGTCTTGAGACATGGAGCGGTCTCTCCTCCTCCTCCTCCTCGAGAAGTCTTGAGAAAGGGAGAGGATTTTCGGTTCCCTTATTCTTGAGGGGTCTTGACAAATTGAGAGGTCCCTCCTCTTCGAAAGAGAGAGAAGTTTTGGTTCCCTTATCCTCGAGGGGTTTTGACAAATCGAGAGGTCCCTCATTTTCGAGGGGTCTTGATAAATGGAGAGGTTTTTTCATCTTCGAGGGGGTTTGATAAAGGAAGAGGTCCCTCCTTCTCGAGGGGTCTTGATAAATGGAGAGGTTTTTCATCTTCGAGGAGGTTTGACAATGGGAGAGATCTCTCCTTCTCGAGGGGTCTCTCTTCCTCAAGGGGTTTTGAGGAAGGGAGAGGTTTTTCATCCTCGACGGGTTTTGACAAACGGAGAGGAATCTGAACAGGCTTCTCCTCATCCCCATCATTATCGAGGAGGATGAGGATAGGCTTTTGGAAAGGTTTTTTCTTTTTCTTCTGAACAGGCTCCTCTTGATGCTCGGGGAGAGGGATGGGGTAGTTGTTCCACCATTCTATTTTTTCTTGCTCGAGGATTTTTTCAAAAGTCGTGGCCTCTCTAAGATGAGACGAAGGAGGAGAGTCCTCGAGAAGAATATAATAGGTATTCTTCCCAGTCTTCTCGATCGAGAGAGGTTCGTGCAAACATTTGTGCAACCATTCACTAAAATGAACGAGAATCCCTTTTGTCTTCTCAAGACGATCCATAATCCTATTCATTTGCGAGACGGTTAGAAAGTGGGACGTGTAAAAATATTTGGCTCGTTTCATTAACAAAATTTGTGCATCCAAAGGTGGAATGTCACGAGCCATCAACACGTTTTCGTCGGACAAAAATTCGTCCCGCATCTTTTGATAACTCCCCACGGTATAATAACCCGCACATTTTGAAAAATCGGAGGCTTTCAGGTAAACGACTCCTTGGATGATATAAAAGGAAAGATCAACATATTTATATTTGAAAGGAATACACGTAGTGAGCTGGGGATGCCTCCTCATGATCCACTTGGACAAAAATACGACTTTGGGGCTCTCCCCTTTTATTTATAGAGAGAAAGAGAGTGTGACCTTCCCTTCCCTCCTCCTCTCTCCCTGCTTCCTCTATCTCTGGACGTCCTTGGATTGGAAAGGGTGACTTTGAAAAAAAAAAGAAGGTCATGGTTGGATAATTTTTTGTTTATTAAATTATTACTTTCACTTCCTCATTCCCACACACATTCATCTTTTAAAGAAAAGAAAAAGAGGTCATGGAGATAAGATTTCTTGGAAAGAAGAGAGAGAGAAACAAAAAAAAACAAATAAAACGGACGTCATAGAGCCTCTATGTGTGTCTGTGTGTGTCTATATAGATATATAAAAGACGAGAGTACTGGGCGAGATCATTTCTTTTCCATTGGGAGCCATGTCGCTATTAGACGTTTTTCCAACTCAACGGATTTCGAACGGGGAGGATTTGAAGACGCTAAAGCAAATCTCCAACTTGAAAATTTTTTGGGGCGTGTCATTGTGCGACATTTATTCCGCATTTACCACCTCATCAAGCGATCGTTTCTTTCAACCAAGATGTCGAATCCTCCAACCTGCTCGTTCAGAATATATACAGAAATTTATTCGAATCGCAACAAACGAAAGAGGAATCTCCCTTCTCTTGGAATCGGATGGATCGAGCTTTGAGACGGCCCATTCAAACAGACCGGCGATATACAGGATCCGCGCACGAGTTTTCGGTGGAAGAATATTTTTCTCACGAAACGATATTTTACGTTTGGAGTGAGAACGACGGCTGAGGACGAAGTTCATATTGTTCAAACCACAGCCGCTCCTCTCGCCTATTACGAATCATCGTCCCCCAATCTGAAGGAAAGAAGTTTTAAAGTCAGCGACAGGATGAAATATAAGAAATATATTCTAAGACCTTTTCAAAACTATGTCGTTCCCCCGAAAACGCAATATCTCATCGTCACAACCCAGAAGAGTCTCTTTCTCGTCGATCGGTGCTCGTACTCGCTTTGGAAACAATTGAAAGAGGAGATTTCTTTCCAATCGCCGATGATGTTTCAAGAAAAAGAAGAAGAAAACCCTCCGCCACCTTTACCCATCCCTTCCTTAGATGATAAGAGGAGCTGGACCAAACCGTTCATGGCCCGAAACAAAATCGACCCGGCAACGGAATGAAATTGAAGTCATCACAATTGAAGATGAGGAGGAAGAAAAAAAATTACCTCTTAAAAAACGGTCGACTTACCGGAACCTACCTGGCGTGCAAGATCCGCTTCAGAATCCAGAAGCTTCTTCTTCTTCTTCTTCTTCTTCCCCGACTTGTTCAAACAGGCAACCTCTTTCGGACTCCTCACAGACAGAACCTCTTCCAGTATCCTCTTCTTCTTCTTCTTCTCCTCCAACCTGTCCCGACATCGTAGAGGTAGAATGTCAGCCGGGTCCACAAGCTCCAACAGGTCCAGAAATAGTAGAGGTAGAATTTCAGCCGGGTAAACAAGTTCCAACGGGTCCAGAAATCATGCAGGTAGAATCGCAGCCGGGTCCAGACATCCTAGATCCCTCCACTCATCCCAAAGAGACTCCAAGTGTTTCAAGACAGCCTTGTGAGGATCCAGCCCTTCCCGTATGGAATGATTATATGGACTTACAAAATTTGGTGTAACAGGAAGGAGAAGAAAATAATCATACGGATGGGTGGGTCAAAGACTGTTTAGATCATTTAACCTCGAATGAAATTGAACTGTTATGGAATTGCATTTCTGAAATCACATCGGAAATGGGATAAAAAAACCAAAACAAAAAAAAACAAAAAAAAATTTTTTTTAATAACAAATTGGAGGAGGGTCATGATGTCAATTAAAAAAAAATATTATATAGAGTCCAATCTTGGTGGTTCACTTCAGTTTTCCAGCATGAGGTGATCCACGTTTCCCGAAATATGGATCCCATTCCAAGAGAGATTGTGTAGAGCCTTCACTTCAGTTCTTTTTTTTTTCCTACCAAGAGAGAGAGGGTCCCCAAAGGGCTACCCATGTCCAAAGAGAGAAAGTGTAGAGCGTTCATTTCAGTTTTTTTTCCAAGTTTAGGGGAGGGAGGTCTCAAAATGACACCCCCCCCCCCCATTTTCAAAGAGAGATGGTGTAGAGCGTTCATTTCTGTTTTTTTTTTCCAAAGTTAGGGAGTTTTCAAATGGCTACCCATTTCAGAGAAAGAGAGAGAGAGAGAGAGAGGTGTAGAGCGTTCATTTCAGTTTTCCAACATTAGAAGGTCCCAAAATACCTTCTGAATTCAAAGAGAGATCGTGTAGAGCGTTCATTTCCAGTTCTCCAAGATCAGAAGAAGAGGGTCCGCTTTTCCCAAAAGGGCTTTCCGCATTCAGAGACAGCGAAATGCAGACTTCAGTTTTCTCCCTCCCCAAGAATAGAGGGTCCCAAAATGGCTTCCCATTTCAAAGAGAGAGGGAGAGGCGTTCATTTCCATTCTCCAAGATAGGGTCGTCTGCTTTTTCCCAAAATGGCTTCCCAATTCAAAGAGAGAGAGAGAGTAAAAGGGTGTGTAGAGCGGTCATGTTCATTCTCCAAGATAGGGTCGTCAGCTTTTTCTCAAAATGGCATCTCCCCATTCAAAAAGAGATCGTAACCAATTTTTTCCAGTTTTTTCCAAGATGGGGGGGGGAGAAGAAAACCTAGGATGGAATAACACGACACACAGAGAGAAAGAGAAAAAAAAACGCCATCTTGTCATTTTCTGATAGGGTACCGGTGTTCGAATACTTTTGACTTCTTTCCATATACCTCAATCTTTTGCAACTATTTTTCGTAAAGAAAGACAAAAATTTTCTAAAAAAATAATATTGTGAAATTAATATATTTTATCCACCAAGTCGTTTTTTTCACTCCTCCCATGGATCCTCTCTTAGCGATAGCCTCATGCGTTACTCTATTTAATAAAAACTTAATCTGACCTATGTGCCTAATTACAAATATTTTTAACATACATAATTTTATATTTACATTTAGCCATCAAGTTTCAAAAACTTTTCAATCTTCTAGAAAATAAATTTTGGTAGATCTCTTTTAGCAATTTTCTTAAAATCTATATTTTTTGTAGTGCAACAGCTTAGAATTTTATAAAACAAATTCATAATCAAAAATCGCTGTTGTTAGTTTATCGAAAAAATAACCAAGATGTGATTTTTGCGTAAATGTCAGTAAACTATACAAATTGCTATTATCCATTACACTATGAATGTTTCTTTCATGTGAGAGTGTCCCTTTTTCGATTTCTATGGAACTGTCGTGTGTCGAAATATTATCAGAATCTTGTCAAGCGAGCTTCTGAATGTAAACAAAGAACACCCCGTCTGGTGACCCAAGCTTCAAAGCGTTGCTTCACTTCTAGCGCGGAATGGCCCCTCCTCCCTTTCCTACCTCCATGGTCCAAGCATAAGAGAAGTAAACACAGCATCGACTGATGCAACCTATTCTGCGATTTAGCCAAGAATTTTAATCTTCTGATTAAATTCTTCCTTCAGTGGTTAATCAGAAGATAATCTTCTAACTTTACAAATATTTGAATGTAATCGATTCTTAAGTCTGATAACTTGTGTTGATTGTAGGCGGTTTCAATTCGTATTATGAACAAACTAAGTTATTCACTCTACGTTGTTTAAGAAATTTAAAGTGTGACCGATGTTTTTGGTAGTTCATGCATGTCATTTTTTTAAATCAATAATCTGAGATTATTGTCAACTTCCATTTTAAAAATGAAATCATTGTGGAAACATAGCATTCTGTGCGTAATATTAATAGGAAAATTTGCTTTTGCTCTGTACCCAAGAGAATCACCTACTCGAGAAGTTAAAACTTTAGACGGCGTATGGAATTTTAAAATTTGTCACCAGAAGGACCAAGACATTGGTTTCAGAGAAGAATGGTTCAAATATCCATTGCAAGAGGTAATAATTTAACATAGAAATTTAAATACATGCTACTATATCATAATGCCAAGTAGTACAGTAAGTTATCAGTTATGTATTTAAAAATATTATCAATGATATCTTAGGATTGTGTAGAATGTTGATGATATTTATAACCTGATTGAAATCAATTTAGCTTGGAGAGAAAATTTTAAGTGTACACGAATTTAATTCGTTCGGAAGTTCATCTGTCAACCAAAATGTTTGTAAATCAATTCTTCCCCAAGGAATCAGTGTAAAATGGATTAATTCATTCTTGGACCACAGATGCTTGATAGTGTTAACTGTACAACAGTACTCGGTGCACAAGTTGATTTATTTTTTAAAGTTGAAATAAAACTTTAAAAAATAAAACAACAAAGATAAACACAAACATATAAAGTAAATGAAAATTTAACTTCATTTTGCTGTATCTGTACAAGAGAGAGTAGATGGCATGAGTGGAAAATGATGAGGAAGATTTTAACATTTGGATGAAGTCTCCCCTTTCACAAATACATTAGGTAACTCACTTTAGCAGGTATCTTCTTTCATTTTTTCTTTCTTTTTGCATCATCTGATACTGTTTGAACTCATTGAGCCTCTGCATCATGCAAAATTTTCCAATGTGATTTGTTATGCACTTTTTAAAATGTTTCTAAATTGATACATAACTTTTTTATTGAAAATATTTATGCTGTAACTTGTTACTGCTTCTGCAGAATGATATTGTTATGTGAAAAACCTTTTATCTTACCCTGTTTTGCACAAATTTCACTTCTACAATAGCCTTTTTTGTTGCTGCTTTTGCAGTGGTAGCTTCTGTTGAGCTAATTTTTATGGCCTTCTAGTAACAACTTCATATCTTTATTGTTAACTTCTAAACCCATGTTTTTGCCTAGATACATACTATCACAGATGAAAAAAAATTCCAAAGAGTGAAATATCTCAAAAGTTTTTGTATGCAACCCATTCTAGACGTAATTTCCCCCAGAACAAATTCATGGTCCTGTAAGTGACTTGCTGTCAGGATTAGCTAATGAGGCTTAAGCAAAGGAAAATATTATTATGTTTCTGTAAACCCTGAGCTTCAACTATGTGGCATAAATTATCTCAGAACGTCTTAGAAAGTTTTATGTTGCTGGCCTGAGTATTTGTAATTCAAGATGTTATTTGTCATACAAGATATTTTGGTTAGAGTAGACTGAAGGGTACCCCTTGCATTATCGTGAAGTTGTTGTTTCATTGAGTGCCAAGTTGTTGTTTCGTTTATCACCAAGTTGTTGTTTTATTTAGGTAACCTGAGTAGTTGAATGTTCCGTAAATATACTTTTACCTAGAATTGGGATCTCCTTTGACTTTTTAAGTGAAACTATATTGATGTGTACATGGACAAAGTCAAAGGGGTGTGCAATGCCAAGTTTGTGCAATTCTCTGATGTTTTTATAAGTGGAAATAGGTCAATGTGTGCATGGATAAAGTCAAGGAAGTGCACAATACCTAGTTTGTGCAATTGTGTGTTGTTTTTGTAAGTGAAAATAGGTCAATGTGTACATGAATACCGAGTTTGTGCAATTCTTTGACTTGTTATGTTGTCTTTGTGTAGCGGTGATTTTTGGTGCTAAAATTGCCGCTGCACAAAGCCAAAATAACAAGTCAAAAAATTGCACAAACTCTGTATCCATGTACCACCAGTTTTCGCCTAGGGGTACCTGTAAATATACTTTTACTAACATTTTTTTTTCGGATAATTTGTTTGTGAAATGAAGCATTCATGCTCCAAGGTTCCGCTGTAACGACAATTATTTAACAGAATAACACATGAACGACAATTATTTAACATATAAGTACTGTATCTTGTCACAGACTGAATGTTCTAGTAGGCAACAGAAATGTTTTTTAAGTTATGATAAATAGCTGCCTTTTTGTTGTTATTACAGGTGCTAGGCAAAAATATAGAAAGACCTGGTGAAAGGAATGCATAAAGTGACAAGGACTCATTAATAGTGAAACGTTAGCCCCAGGATAAATTTACAACATAGATGAAACTTGTATTTTCTGGCAATATGTACCGCGAAATACCTTGACAACCTCTACAGAAAAGGCTGCAACTGATGTCAAAGATTCCAAAGCTAGACTAACAATTTTAGCATGTGCAAGTGCTGCAAGAACGGCTAAGTGTAAACTTTTCATAATCGGAAAAAAAAAAAAAAAAAAGTGACCTTGAGCATTTAAAGGAGTAAAGATTTTCCGGTTAATCTTTACGTTATGGTAACTTGGCGATTTTTTGGCGAAAATTTGGTGACCAACTCTCCTACAGCAACCCTCTATTTTTTTTTCCCGCCGCCATTTTGTCTTCACGAAGTAAAGACATGTTTCTTTTCTTTTTATCTACTGAACACTTCTTCCAACAATCTACTAGCCGAATTACACTTATGCTAGAAATTTTATTTAACAAAACTGCTTGATCATACAAATATTCACTGCAAAATTGGGAAAAGTGTACAATACCATACTCCTTACGCGTTTTTCAAAATAACACATACACATAAACCATGTACACGCCGACTTATTTTTACTTAAAAAAACATCCCAGAATTGCACAAAAATGGCATTGCGCACACTCTTCACTATATCCATGTACACTGCTTTTTTCTCATAAATTAGAAAAATTTCACGAAAATACATGACAATTTTCTCAATCTTTAAACCCGGTAAAAAGAACATATATGAAATTACCTGATCGCGAAAAAGTATATACCCTTTCCAAATATGAACATTTCCACTTATAAAATAAATAAAATATCCAAAATCTTTTACCTTTAAATCATCTATTATATTATAAACATCACCAACGAATTCATACCGCAAGCATAAAAAATACTTAGTGTCAAATATTTAAATTATTTCCATGCACGTTTACTTCAACTAAAACGTATACAGTCAAAAGTCGTTAATTCGGACACCCATAATTCGGAATGATCTATAATCCGGACCTCAAAACTAAAAACTTTCTGCGCATGCGCCGCGTTGACACATGCACATATGCGTTTACGCGTGCGTGTAAGACCTTTTATGACTGCGCATGTGAGCGTGCGCAAGTGCAGAATACGTTTTCGCGTGCGCGTTTTATGTATAATGGACGTATAAGCTAAAATTATATAATTATCTATTTCAGTTAATGTTGATGATTGCATTGTTCCTTAATTTTCGAATTGGTTCTGGCTTATTATTTTTTGCAGACTGTAAGAGCAATTTTATAAAAGTAAGTTTAAACTTTCGATTATATCAAATAGAATTTCCGATATATATTTGTTAATATGTAAAGGATCTAAAGCGAAAGTATGTTTTGAAATCCGAAATCTGTTTATCAATTTCATGCTGCTCGGCGGGGGGAACGGCACGGCGGGCCGCGTAATGAATTGGAAGTTGATCTGTCAGCACTATCCTTATCTTCAGCGCAGATGTTTTATTTTTTTTGGCTTATAATTCCTTACCAAATGTAGTATTTCATCTCGATATGCTCCCTCATTGATATGATTTAAAACAAGTTCCTCGTCATTATAATTCGCTTCCGATAGCGAAGAAAAGTGACAGAGGTTATTGAAAACGAAAAAATTTCGATTGACAAATTAGTCGGTGTTCTCGACACAGCAATTATATGACTTGAACAGCGGAACTTTGTAACTGAACAAGAAATTATGTCTGTTCAATAGAATTAAAGAGAAAGTATTATCACATGAAAACGAAGCAAACTTAAACAACTTACATTGAAAGAAATGTTTAATAAAGTAAACAAATAAATATTAAGCTTTTTCTTTTTGCAAATTTTGATACCCTTTAGATCATAATTGTTCTTTATTTCATAAATTATGGTTTCATATTTTTAATTTTAGAATTTCTGCATGCCATCTTACGAGATTTAAACTGATGATCTATAATCCGGAAAAATCGATAATCCGGAATCCCCGAAGTCCCGACGAGTCCGGATTAACGACTTTTGACTGTACCAAATTCCTACAAACATAAAATTCACAAAATAACTATCATTTAATTAAAATATCACTAAACCATGTACACGTCGACTTATTTTTACTTAAAAAAAAAAAAAAAATCCCAGAATTGCACAAAAATGGCATTGCGCACACTCTTCACCATATCCATGTACACTCCTTTTTTCTCATAAATTAGAAAATTTCACGAAAATGCATGACAATTTTCTGAATCTTTAAACCCGGTAAAAAGAACATATATGAAATTACCTAATAACGAAAAAGTATATACCCTTTCGAAATATGAACATTTCCACGTATAAAATAAATAAAATATCCAAAAACTTTTACCTCTAAATTATCTATTATATTATAAACGTCACCAACGAATTAATACCGCAAACATTACAAGTACTTAGTGTCAAATATTTAAATTATTTCCATGCACGTTTACTTTCAACTAAAACGTATACCAAATTCCTACAAAACATAAAATTACTTTACTTCCACCTTACATTTAGAACAATGCATAAAATAATATCCTCAAATAATTAAAAATACTAACTTACCTAATCTTCTTCGAATCTTCATTATCTTCATTACGTGTCCGATAAACTTTTCTTATTTCATCCGCTAATAAAAAGCAAGCGATGTGCGCCTGTTTTCAGGATCTTTAAATCATACTTATAGTTCACAGCAAGGTGCCAAAGTAAAATAAATAACTTAATAAAACATCTTTACTTCTATCTCGCATAACCTTAAAGAACCACTTCTTTACTACCCCCTTTTCAATCCCACTCCCACTAATACCCATTTCGAATTCACTTTAGTTAGGGCCATGGATCCAAAAATTAATGAACACTGTTTCACACAACACAGAATAAAGCCAAATACAAAATTTCCACATTTTTTCCCGATTTCCCCCCCTTCCCCCCTTTTCCGATTAAAGAACCGTAATTCCTCCATTAATATCACATGACATATCCCATGATCTCTCATTTCCCTCACACAAAATAATGCGTAATCGGAACTGAGTACTTACTGCTCACATTATTACCAAAGTCCCAGGTAGTAACCTTTATCGCCTCCAAAATGTCGCCAAACTACCAGTTACCATATTCTAAAGATCAGCCGATTTTCCTGTTATATATCATGCAAATAAAAGAGGATGGATGACATGTATGATTGGTTTGAAAATTATTTAATACCCGAGACTTGGTTTGAATTCAGTTGGCTTAGCTGATGATGCAAAAAATTTTCCTGATTGTACATAACTGTTTGGCTCATATTTCACTTGAAGTATTAATGAAGGATAATGTATCTGTGTTATTCTTGCCACCAAGTCCTTCATTCATCCTATAGGTATCGGAATAGTGCACTTGCTGAAGTGCAAATATGAAGTCACATTTTTAAAATTTATGTTAAATTTCTTGAATATTGGCAAGACAAGTCAAGAATTTTTGAAATATTTTAGCATAAAATCTGTTGTGTGGAACATCGCGCTGTTATGCCACTGTGTTAGTTTAGTATATATCAAATTCAATTAACATCAAGGGGTAACATTTTTAGAGGTAACTTTTAAAAAGTACTCGTGCGGGTTTTACAAAACTTGGCATTTTGGCATAATTGGAGTCGTAGAATCAAAATATGGAAAAAAATTGGCAGGTCATTTCAGAAAAAGATCATGGGAGGATGTGCTTTCAGATACTTTAGAAAATGCTTGGCATAATTTATGGCTAGCTACCCATATTTCATGGTTAGGATGATATCCACGAATTTGAAGGCTTTTGGATATGACTTTTTCCAATTAATGGATTTTGTAAAGAAATGCAGAGAAGCGGTAATAAATGAAGATGATATAACAAAGTTTTTCATTGTGATCACAGTGCTCCAATTATGGTACAAAGTCCGAAATCCAGACACGTCGGGACTTTGGCGATTCCGGATTTGGGATTTTTTTGGATAATAGATCATCAGTTTAAATCTAGTAAGATGACATGTAGAAATTATAAAATTAAAAATATGAAATCATGATTTATGAAATGATGAAGTATTTATGATCTAAAGAGTATCAAAATTTACAAAAAAAAGTGTAAAAAACGTACTCTCCAGTTGTTTTATTATGCGCGGAGGGGAGACTCAAATGCACATGCAGTAAAGTCTATGAGGAAACGTTGTTGGTAGTTTTTTTTAGATCATTCCGGATAATGGACGTCCGGATTTCGGACTTTGTACTGTATCAATAAATTAATGTATTGTGAAATTTGTAGTATGGTCCTAAATCCAGAAAATACCACTACTGATAGTGAAGAAAGTGACAGAGAGGTGATTGAAAGCCAAAAAAGTTTTATTGACAAGTTAGTTATTAGTTAGGAATTCTTGATACAGAAACCACAGGATTTGAACAGTGGAGCTTTGTAACTGAACAAGAGATTATGTCTGTCTATAGAATTGAAGAAGAAGTATTACCACAAAAAATGGAGCAACTTAAACAATTTACATTCAAAGAAATGTTTAATAAAGTAAATAAATAAATATACAGCTTTTTTTCGGGTAAATTTTGATAACCTTTAGATCATAAATGCTTCATTATTTCATAAATCACATTTTCATATTTTTAATTTTATTATTTTTTCATGCCATCATACTGGATTTAAATTGATGATCTAATATCCGGGAAAATCCCAAATCCGGAATCGCTGAAGTTCTGACGAGTCCAGATTACGGACTTTGTACTGTACAGTAGAAGACCAGAAATCCGCAATGCTTGGGACCAGAGATTATGCAGATTTTAGGACAAGGAAAATAAATCATAATATTGAAACTAAAAGTGCAAAATAAGTGAAGACGTACACAATCATTAAGGACATTAATTAAAGCATAAAATTTCTCCCCCCCTTTTTTTTTACATTTTTACATATTTCAAACATTTTTCAGAAAACAAACTTCTTTCTGAAAAAGAAAGTAAAGAAGAAAGAAATTTTAATTTTTTGGGGGGTAAATTATATAGTCAGAATCTTTTGCTCTGTTGTTTTAAAAATTATAGATATTTCCATGTTCTAAACTTTCATTTAAAGATATTTTATGATATCAAATGCGCTATCTATGTTGTTGTCCGAATCATTTTCCCGCTGTGTCGAGTTCAAAACAGAATTTCATCGTCAGTCGTCTGATATGCCGATGTTGGCTCATCTGGACACATCATCCATTCATTGATATCTTCTTTCAAAGCTTCATTTGTCTTCTTTCGAATACAGATTCAATTTTTTTTCTTTAACCTTTGCTGCTCTGACCCTAAACCAGGAAGTTCATTATCATTGTTCCCAGTTTCAATAAACAGAGCAAATGGCTATACATTACACCAGCCATTTACATTACATTAAAAAAAAAAAAATACTGTAATGTCAAGGATTTGGTAAGTATTTCTGCTATGACGTCACTATTTCTCTTTTATTCGGTATTTTGTTCTCCCGTTGCGGTTTTAATCTGAATATTTAAATTTTGTGAGGTTGTGAGGATTTTTGGTATGTGACTGCATTTCTTTTGGTGCAAAGTAAGTTGTAATGTATCTGTGGAGCTTGCCCTCTTTTTTTTACATTACATTGAAGTTTCAACTGTTCTTAAGCTATCATGATTATGACCATAGTGAAATGCCAAGACTACTTGATGTCAATTATGCGCAATTCTTTGATTTTTTTTAACAAAAATAGATGATTATGTACATAGGGAGGACAACAGCACAAAAACAGAAATGTCTCTAACTTTTGTGGAAAAGAGGAATGTGAAAGAACAAGCGGCACTGGATGCAGTTGATGCATCATTAAAATGAACATAAAGATACCAAACAAATATTTCTTGGGATATCAGATGATACCGATAGTTCTATGGTTCAATGTTTTCAGGATTCAAGCTATGCAAATTAGAATGACAGCTAGTCTGTGCCAAATACCTAAAGAGGCATTCCATGTCCAAAGTGTTTCTACAAGTGTCAAGAATTCTTGTTTGAATAAATATGTGTGGTCGAGGCAAATTAGGTAAAAAATAGGTATTTTTAAATATTCATACACTCATGAAAGGTCTCAAAGTCATTGGTGACTGTAGGAGTTGCTAGTGAGTCACATATTTGCAAAAAACATTTGTTTAGTTATCTGTATAGTTTAGAGATATTATTTTTCATAAATAATAATAAGAAGAAAAAGGTTACAAGAAACAAGGAATTTGATAAGGGGGAAAAATTCTATATGCAATATTTTTTACAGCTAATGGATACTGTTCACTGAATGACAGTTAAATATAAAATTGGTAAATCCACGTAAGTACTTAAATGCACATTGTATGCCAAAGTTAATGCTGACTGTTGTTACCTGTAGACATGAAAACATATAAAAGCATTGTCTTGGTCTATCAAATCTTGAAATCAGGGCTAGATAATCAGAGAGAAACAAAAATTTACATTTCAAATAAAACTCCCTATAAGCATTTTTTTTTTTTGAAATTTTTGAACATAAAACAAATATAAATAGATTTTTTATGTAATCTAATCTAATATCTAAATTTTTAAGACGTTTTCTTATAAAATGTTATTTCACTTGCTGTTTTTAATCTGTCAGTATAACAGTCAAATTAAAAAATGTTTAATACTTAATTTATTTCCTAGACTGGTGATATTATACCAATGCCTGTTCCATCCAGCTTCAATGATATAACACAGAATGTTACAATTCGAGACTACCTTGGTTGGTCATGGTATGATAAACACTTCTATGTGCCTCAAAGATGGAAGGAAAATTTTAGCATAGTATTGAGATTTGAAAGTGCACATTATTTTACCATAGTGGTGAGATATTTTAACCTCTCTCTCTATATATATACATATATATAATTTTTTTATGTATCTTAAAATTTGTGAGTTTGTTAGAATTAAGTGTGCATTGATCTAGTTATAATTCTGTTTTAGTTCTTAAATGGTCACAACATAATGAATCACACTGGTGGACACCTGCCATTTGAATCTGAAGTCACTCAATATCTGAATTTTGCTGGTTCAAATCAGGTTACTGTTGCTTTGAATAATACACTTTCCACAAAAACTATACCTCAAGGTAGTAAGACATTCAAACATGTGAAGGATGGGTATGTATTTATATTGCTCTTTTTTCTTTTTTAATTTAGAAAAGCAAAGTAATTGTTTTAAAAAATAAATTTTCTTCAAAGTCAAGTAATTTTTGTCTTTGATATAATTTGCATAAAAATTTATTTTGAATTCTAAAATGAGGGAAATATTAAATTTTTCATTTTCATTTTTGATTTACAAAGAGATAGACAAATGTTTATAAAATCTTATGTTTGTTTCCTTAATATATTAATTATTTAAATGATGAATAATAAACAGTTTCTTCTGTGAACAATTAAAGAATGAATATAAAATTGCTTTTAAGATTAGAAAAAAGATTTTTATGGTAAGGTCATAATTTTTAAAAAAGTCGTGTGTCTTAGAATTAAAATTTAAATGTTAAATTTTTGTTACCTTAAGATTTGAATAGTAATAAATACAACAATTTTTAATTAAAAATAAATGGAATGATTTAAAGGAAATTACACTGATGTATAACCTGATGCTATAAGATTTAAATAACCTATATAAATTTTCAGTACAAAGCTTAGCTATGTAAGTTAGCTAGAAAATTTTAATGCTATATTTGTGAGAGTCTTCTAAAATTAAGGAAAAAATCCAGCTTTGTAGGCACACACATTTATCAATACTTACCTACAGTGGGTGTTTTAAGACATTACAGGGTAGGCGAAAAAGTAGATGTGGTCATAATTGATGCCTGCATGCACAATTAGAGTCAGTAACATGTAACATCTTCTCATGTTACATACAGGTGTTGGACAAAAATATGGATATACCGAAATAAAAACATATTGCTGTGGCTAATATGGTGTAGGAAAACCACTGGCATTCAAAACAGCTTGCAGTCTTCTAGGAATAGATAAATAGAGGTCTCTTATGCTTTGCAAGGGAATCTTCTGCCATTCTTCCAGTAAAATATTGACAAGTTCAATTAAGAATGATGGTGATGGATAGTGCTCATGCAGATTTCTCTCAGAAACAGCCCATGAAGTCTCATATTGATATCTGGTGACTGTGGTAGCCATGGTAGATGTGAAAGTTCACCCTCATGTTCAGAAAACCGGTCCTGGACGATGTGAGCTGAATGAACAGGAGCTCTGTTATCTTGGAATACAGCATCACCATAAGGGAACAAATTTGTTCCATGGGGTGGATGTGATCAGCCAAAATTGTCACATAATCCTTCACAGTAATGTGACTTTGCACAGTAATGATAGGTCCCATGGAATACCACAATATGGCTGCCCAAACCATGACTGAACTCTGCCATGTTTCACTCTCTTCAGCGAACAGTCTCTAACATACACTTGGAACAGTGTTCATGTGATATAAACTCCCACCAGAAGTTGGAAACTGTGTGAAGCAAGACATAGACCAAATGACATTCCATTGCTGTACAGTCTACGTTTTATGACCAGGTACCAATTTCTCCTCTTACAAGCATTTTGATCACTGATGAATGGCTTTTGAATTGCAGCTCATTCCAAAATACTCTGCTTATGGCTTTTGAATTGCAGTTCATTCCAAAATACTCTGCTTGTAGAGCTCCCTTCATATTGTTTTGGTGCTGACAGATTTTGCAAGCTAGACAATCAGTTCAGCAGTCACTTTTGCTGCTGTAGTCCTCTTATTTTTCATTGCAGTCCTCTTCATTGATCATCTGTCATGATCAGTCAACCCACATTTTCGTCCTCACTGTGATTTTAGCAGACATTTTTTTTTTTTTTTTTTTTCAGTTTTCCTGTATGAGATAAAAATCTTAGATACTGTGCCTCTTGAAGCACCAAACACTTCTACCTTGGTTACAGAACTCACCATACGAGCAATGTTAACAATTTGCCCATGTTCAAATTCATTTAGCTCCAACATGATGCACTCACAAATGCACAGAACACTGTCTCGATAACGAATGACACTTGCAACGTATTAAGGATGTTGTACAGGTGGCATTAATGAGCAAACACACCAGCGCCATCAACAGCTTTTGCAAGAATACACATTTCAGTTCAAACATACATTTTATTATATGTTTCCATATTTTTGTCTAACCTCTGTAGATTGTCGTTAATTATTTGAATTGTGAGTGAGACAATAATTGGAGGCTATTTATTCATAGCCTGCCATCTTGCTCCTTCATGAGCATCTTTTCACTGTGGCACTCTGTCTCTCTTTGGAAGTGATTGACTGTCTTCCCAACGGGAGTGTCCTAGCAAGAACATGACGATAGCACCATCTTTTGATGGGGATGGAAGGCATGCCAAATCTCCAGTCATCGTGCTCCAGTTATGACCTCACAACCAGAACATCAGCATCTATAGCATCTGAAAACATTTAAAGGAAAAAGAAAATTTAAAAAGGAAAAAACTTTAAAAATCAAAATAAAATTATAAGGGTCTTTATGTAGTCAGCTGCAGTGATCATGTTCGGTCTGTCATGACATCTGTCTTTCTCAATGTTATATCAGTTGTTTGGCTTAATAGCCATGATTTTATAAGGACTGCAAAATTTGGGATTCGATTTTAATCTTCTTCCATGTTGGGTTCTCTGGATAGTGCTTGTTTATCTTGTAGAGTTAAGGCTTTCTTTCCGTTCTCATTAAATTGCTTCTTATTTTCTTCTCGTTAAATTGCTTTCTATGTTATTCTTGTAATTTCAACACGTTTCTTTTAAGTGTCATTTCTCATATCCTCTTGTTCTTGCATTTGCTGATTCAAATATTCTTTTTTTAATATTTCTTTGATCCTTACGTCTTCCTTAGTCTTCATTTTATTACCAACAAACAGTTCAAGGGTGTAAATTTGGTACTTTTGCAATTTGTGCTCTTCATTATTTTCTATAAATCTGCAACGTATTGTTGCGTGTTTCTTTTCTGACACCAGTTGTTACGTTATCTTCTTTCTTCACGTTCATATAGGGTTCGTGTGGATTTGGAGTGAATAACGATGACACTTGATGAAGTATCGAAACACACTTTATTTAGCCAAGATTAGTCAGGACAGCTCCAAAACACTTTTACAGTCGTCGAAGATCTGCAATAAACACACTGGAACAATCAGCGACACGGCCTTCACACTGTCAGGCAATAACAGTGGAGACAGCTTCACTGCAAAGTACCAGAGTACAGCTCCCGACTTTGTTCGGTTGTTCTCGGAACTCCACATACTCTCGAGACTCTCCACGCTACAACTCGCGATGCACTCAACGACACACAGAGTACAGCTCCCGACTCTTCGATTCAGTTGTTCCCGGACACACTCTCTCGACAAACTTAACACACTCTCTCGATGATGCACTAGAGATTCTTCGACGCACTCGATGACCCACTCGGCAGTTGCTGGCCGGCTGTCAACTCGATCGTCTCTGCACGGACTAACTAGATGAGAGATGACTAACTATCTTGTACTTGATGAGGCACACTTGATACTAACTATCTCGCGCTCCCGAGGCACACACACTCGCCGTCTCGACGAGGCACTCTCTGACTGCGGACCAGCAGAGTTTATATAGCTTTCGGCTTGTGTTTGAGGACATTCTGGGCTAAACCGGTAAGAATTCGTTCCAGAAGGTTCTCCATCCATCCATGGCATATCACCAATTTTGTCGCCAAATGGGCGATTTCTAGCCAAATGTGGCAACCCTGCCTTCCCTTGTCATTTATGGCAACCCTAAATCTGCTTTCCTGGAAAGCTATCTCACTACGCCTGTACATTTCGTAACAATATTCTAACCATTTAGTTGGATCTTCATGAGATAGCTTAGTTAAAGCGGGTATCAGAATCCCATGAATCTCTTCTATTTGTCTGTTTCCTCTAGGTATTCCGGTGGTGATCTTTATGTGTTTTATCTCTTCTTCAATGCAATAGTTTCAAACTCTTTCACTGTGAAAACTGCATCTCTGTCAAAAATTATTCTGGAAGGGTTCTCAAACACTGTTTGTTGTTGCTTTGATTTGGCAATGACTTTCTGTGTGTATGGAGACTTCACAGGGTAAAACCAGATAAACTTGGTCAGTGCTTCTGTTAAATAAACCAATATCATATGAAGAAGCAAGTCGAAAAATAAGAAATGTATCTTTTCACATTTTTTATTGAAACTTAACAACACGTGCACAACATTACAACGTCATCCATAGCTCGCACGCACAGGAGAGAGACTTGGTGTTGCCAACATGGTAAATATAAATGTACCAAACTAACATGCCTCCTTACATTTATACTTACTAATTACAAACAAACATAGATATAAGTAACCTTTTCATTTTTACCATTTACAATTAATCATAGATATAAACAATAACATTCAACACTTAACACAAATTATTTTAAAAAAGGTTTCTTTCATTAACGTAAATGTTAAAATCAAAGTTAAACACAATTTAGTTTACATAAGGACATTACCAAAATCTATTTTATTTCAAGCAAAAATATTTAAATAAACAGTATACAAAATTTATTTCAATTTCAAACCAATTTCATAAATTTAATCTTTCCTAAAGATTTAGTAAAGATATCTGCAATATTTGATTCTGAATCAATCTTTACAATTTCAATTGCTCCATTTTGAACATTTTCGTGAACATAATGATATTCAATTTCTATGTGTTTTGAATTTTTAGTGAAGTTCCCATAGTTAGCAATGGCCAAAGCTCCTGAATTATCTTCATAAATTTTAATGGGGGGAGTTATATCAGCAAAAACATCATTCACAACATTTTTTAAGAAATTAATTTCTGTCACAGCCTCAGATAGAACAATATATTTGGCAAAAGTGGAAGATTTTGTCACACAATTTTGCTTTTCGGATTTCCAGTAAATTGGATTACCAAATAATTCAATAACAAACCCAGTAGTTGACTTTCTGTCAACAATATCACCTGCCCAATCAGCATCAACATAACAATTCATAATATCAGCTTTAAGATTTTTACTATAGGTTAATTTTAGATGTTTTGTTAAGTACAAATACTTTAAAACTCTCAAAGCATATTTGAAATGTGTCT